CTGGGGAAGTCCTCACTTTTTTTTTTTTTAAGATTTATTTATTTATTACATATACAGTGTTCTGTGTATGGGCCAGAGGAGGGCACCAGATTGAATTGTAAATGGTTGTGAGCCACCATGTGGTTGCTGGGAATTGAACTCAGGACCTCTGGAAGAGCAGCCAGTGCTCTTAACCTCTGAGCCATCTCTCCAGCCTGGAAGTCCTCACTTTTATTTATTTATAGAGACTATCCAGCCCTCCTTAGAATTTTTACCTTTTGTATTCTGATAAAAGTACAGTAAAGGTATAGTATAGTCAAAGTAAAAATGCAAAGTTAGAATGATGTATGAAGAGCAAGAGTTACTCAGCTATGTTTCTGGTGAATGGTAATTCATCAGATATGTATTGAGTAGCACAAAGATTCAGCTTGTTACTCAGAATGTACTGTGTATGTTTATCTTACTGATTGTTAAATAAAATACTGTTTGGCCAATGAGACAGCAAGTTAGACGGGACTAGGAGTGCAGGAGGATTCTGGGAAATGTAGTAGAGACGTGATGATCCAGGCAGGAAGTGACATAGCAAGGAGACTCATATTTAAAGAAGGAGAAACAGAAAGCATGTCTCTTTTTCCCCTCCGCTCTTGCTTCAGCGGCACAATGTGATCCACCGGCAAGGAGGGATGCCAATAAGGCATCCGATGAGATAAATCTTATAAAATATATAGATTTATGATAATTGAGACTGAGCTAACAGATGAGAATCCTAGTCATTGGCCAAGCAGCATTTGAACCTAATACAAGTTTCTGTGTATTCATTTGGGTTCTAACTCGGGCAGGCGGCTGGCGTAAAGCTCACACGTGGCGGTGGGGCTCTGGCGGCTTTTGGCGGAAAGATTTATCATAACAGTTACTTTCTTCTTCAGTTTAGTCAGCAATGAATTGAGTGTTCATTTAGGGTTAGGGTGTATAATGTAGAATGGTGGGAAAGTATGTATGGATTATATTTCACATCAATTGTAGAATCAGCCACGATTTTTTTTTTAAAGATGTATTCTTTGGTATTGAACTTTGCTCTTATGTAGAAGCTACTAACAGTCTGTACCATAATGAAGAACTGAAAGTCTTTGTCAACGACTGTGAAAAGACTGGAACTTTAGCTTGCTACAATTTCATGGGTGTTAGGAGACGTGGAGACAGCTGAATTTCAGGAGTAAAAGGACTGTTACTCCTATTACTGCAGGAGCTTCCTTCTGTAATTGTGTCTTTTCCTTAGTTACCCCAGATTCAGATTGGAGTTATCCTTAGAGTGGCTTTGCACAGAGCTCAGAAACTGAGCTTAGAAAACCTTAATCTTTCATGGTGTGCTGCATGGAAATTTACCTGACCTTAGTTGCAGAGTATCTGGGGCAGTGAGCATACCTGATCTGATCCTCAGGAAGGAGGAGGTGTCATCTCATAGGACTATGTCTTGAAAGGAGAGGAACACATGCAGAAATAAATGCTAGACACTCAGAGCATTGTGTGCTCAAAGAGTTGCATAGAAAATGTCAGGACTAAACATGAAACGGCACGGTGTTGGTGGAATCCAATCTGTGTATGTATGTGAGTGTTCACGGTGTATTTCAGATCCCTTATATAGATTGTCATAGTAAAGGAGGAAGCACAGTTAGCTGAGCTTAGCTTGACAAGTGAAGAAAAATTTATTATCAGTAATTAACATCACTGGGGATGGATGAAGTTTTTAAAACTTACAATGGTTCTATTTTTAGTTGTACTTTTAGAACCATAGTCAGAATTCCTTAAATTTTTGTTTAGATTTTATTTTCTATGTATGACCCTTTCTAATGTATGTACGTTCACTCCATGTGTGCCTGGTGTTGACAGGAGTCAGAAGAGGGCAGTCAGTCACTGGGCCCTCCACCGAGTGGGTGCTAGGAACTGAACCCTGGGTCCTCTGCTGCCCGAGATGGTTTTTTTCCAGCTCTGGCAGTCCTGGAACTCACTCTGTAGACCAGGCTGGCCTCAGACTCACAGAGATCCACCTGCTTTTGCCTCCCATGTGCTAGAATGCCTGGCTCACGAAAAGTAAACTGTAGAGCCATCTCTCCAGCCCTGTTAGGACTTCTTAAACTACTTAAAAGTCTCAGTTCCAAATCTTTCCCAACTTTTCCAACTTTCCTGGACTTAGATGCATTTTGGCTCAATGCCAATGACGGTGGAGTCAGGCCAGTGAATCACTGGTGAATGTTCATAAACTAATAACATGAGTTGCATTGGTTACTTAGGCATGGCGTAAGTTTTGTAATGGTGACCTTTTTAGTGCTGAAAAAAATTCCTGTTTTAACAAAGTCATCCTCAAAAAGAGATCCCCCCATATTTGTATTATATTTTGAAATAACAATAGACTATCAAGTTTAAGACATAGAGAACAATGTGACCAGGTAACACATTGTTGTTGGAGATTGGGGCAGAGTAAAACCTCCCATAGAATATCCAGAAAGCAAAATAGCCCGGGATAGTTGGGCCCTAACGAGCCTCTAAAAGGATGTATCTCCTCGCTCAAGATTCTATCACATCTCAGTTTGTCACTCTGGGGTGTAGGCCTGGGATGGGGGGGAGGGGCTTCAAAACCCATAGTTCTATAGCAGGATGAACATTTGAAAGTTCAGTAGAATAGGAGTGTAATTATTCTGTGGGACTGACTGCCTGACATTGGAGAATGTTTACCATTCTATATCCCTACTCCCCCTGTTGGGCCTTTCAGCTATAATGTCAAGGCCAAAGGTTGTGTTTGTACCTTATAGCACCTTCAGTTTATATAACCTCTTTCTGAGACATGTAAAGGGATTTGTGTGTCTGTGTCTCTGTGTGTGTCTCTGTGTGTGTGTGTGTGTGTGTGTGTCTGTGTGTGTGTCTGTGTGTGTGTGTGTGTGTGTCTGTCTGTCTGTCTGTCTGGTAGTGGGGTCATAACAGCTCCTATAATAGTCTTAGCTTTTATGAATTTAGTGTTGAGTGTTGGTGGATAGATGTCCATGCATGCTTTCAGGGTAGGTTATAACTTTCATCAGATTTTCAAAGAATTCTGTGGCTTAAAAATGTGGGCCAGATGTTACTTTGAACCAAGCAGCAGTCTTTGTTAGCCATAAAGCTTGGCCATTTTGCTCATGGTTATCAGTAGTCTTTACCCGTCCCTTCTAAGAAGCAGCGGTGAACTTAACCTGAGGCTTGCCAGTGGAACAAAGCCCCCAGTTTACTCTCTTTAGGTGTCTTCTTATGGGATTTATGGCATTGTTTTCCTAAGGTGAAAATGTCTAATTAAGCATTTTGTTTGGGGAGATTCTTTGTCCTTTTAATGTATTATTTGATCTCTGCTTTTTTTTGGGGGGGGGGGTTCGAGACAGGGTTTCTCTGTGGAGCTTTGGAGTCTATCCTGGCACTTGCTCTGAGGACCAGGCTGGCCTCGAACTCACAAGAGATCCACCTGCCTCTGCCTCCTGAGTGCTGGGATTAAAGGCACATAAAGTTTTTAGGAGTTTGTTGATTGAAAGTATGTATCTATTATTAACATCCTATGCAGGCTGATCAAGCCAAAGAGCCCACCTGCCACACTCAAGCTCACAGTTACTGCCATGACTTGCGCCATGACTTGTGGGTATTGAGACTAGCAAGGAGGGAACGCCTTGCTTCATCCCTTTCAGATGTTTATTTCTAGTGAGTTGTATTGTAGAGATGTTAAATCATCTGCTTTTTAAAGAAATAAACAATTGGGGAGCAACAAAGGGTATAAGATAGTCTACTGAATGCACTAGTAACTTAGAATGAAACAAGCACTTGAGAATAAAACTTGACTTCTCAAAGCTTGGACCTACCTCTTTTTCAGTCATCTCACTTTGTGACGGAGTTCCTTTTTCATGTTAAGCATTAGGCAGACCTGTTTGTTTGTGTCAACTGTAGTCTATAGTGACTCATTTTGCTTTTCTTGGGAGCCTTTGTCGTAGACAATTTCCCAACATTCAATCAAACTTTATTGGACATGGCTGGAGAATTTTCTCAATCTGGATTTCAAAGTATGACATTCCAAAGTTTTAAAAACAGCATGATGTTTAATATTTAAATAAACAGGGTCAGTGGTGACCCAGGGTTAAGAGGGCTTGCTGCCACTCTGAAGGCTAATGTTCAATCCATGTAAACATACTCGAAACACCAGTAAGTAACTGAAACAAGGATCACATAAAAATAGGCTTTTATCATAGTTGTCTTTGACAAAGAAAAAACAAAAGCATAACATTGATTTTTAAAAGACCTTTTAAATTTTTGGAGTAATTAGTGATACAGGCTTATCGTTTTCTATTTGACATGTTCTTAGGTGTTTTTTTAATCTTCTCTCTTAAGAAATTCTTGCTGTGTAAACTAGATTGTATAAAGTCTTGGTTTTTCAAACAAAAGCAAATAGGTCTATCTTCACATCTCATAGCCTGCTTTAAAACAATGAGGATGTACTGGTTAAGTAGAGCTGGATCCGATGTTTGAGTTCTGTCCTTGTCTTTTTGTTGAGTACAGAACCACAGCTGTAAGACAACAGCTTTGTATCTAGATAGCGGGTCTGACACATTGTTGTATTTATAAGTACTCAACAGGTATTGGGAAAAGCTTAAGTACTGTCAGCTTTTAGTGCGTTTGGGCATAGAAACTTTACAGTTGGCCTTGGGAATGTGAAGACCCCTGGGGAATTCTGTCACTTGTGTGGCAAGAACACTGTAAGAATAGAATGCGGTTAACATGGTGGCTCTGGATGGAGATGCTTTTTGCCAAGCCTGAGGGCCCAAGTTCGGTTTCTGGTACCCACCTAATGGGAGGAGAGCACCCATCCCCAAATGCCTTCTGATCGCCATAAAGCTCTGTGGCATGTACAACACATAAACTTAATCAGAATTAAAAAACTAAAATCATATGGTTGAATTTATCAAAAGATGGATAGAGACAATTCTTATTAATTTAATCTTGAATTCTGCTTTTGATGTGACTCCAGTTTTAATTGTCTGTCTGTCTCTTTTAACCTTACAGGCCCCTTCACAGATGTAGTCACTACAAATCTTAAATTGCGAAATCCATCGGATAGAAAAGTGTGTTTTAAGGTGAAGACCACAGCACCTCGCCGGTACTGTGTGAGGCCCAACAGTGGAATTATTGACCCAGGGTCAACTGTGACTGTTTCAGGTAGCTGCTAGACTTTTGCAGTTTTGAATATTGACATTTCATGACTTTTATTTAATAGTGTTTTCATCTGTTTATATTTGGCTTCAGTTTTTGTTTAAAGGCTTTCATTGGGTATCTTGCCATTACAAACATTTATTGAAGCTTTATCCCTCTTGTTTTGTATGTAGGTGTGTGATTAATTATTGTCAATTTGGAACATCATATCTTCTATAGCTCACCACCATATTCTGTGTTCTTACTAGTTTATCTTTGAAAAAACAGTAACTCTTTTTCTTTTTAAAAAAGCAATAGTTCTCAACTCCTGCTTTTGTTAATTACAAAGGGAGCAGGAAAACACATGGAGAGAGAATCTATTTGTCATGTCAGATCATGGGGATCAGTTTGGGGAGCATGGCAGAGAAATGAATGTATTAAAATCCCAGTGATTCCTGATAATACTCTGAAAATTTTAAGGTCTCAAATTATATAAGGCCCATTGGGAATATTTAGAAATAGAATCCAACTGCTGCAAAGACGCCATATGCAGTCTTAGTAATAACTAATTTATTGTTTATTATCTGTCTTGGATTTGTATCACATAGGTTTAACATGCAGATTGAACTCAGAGCCTCGAAACTTCTGTAGGCTAGTCAGATATAAAGACATAAAACATGAATGATATGGGGGAATAAAGTCTAAACATTAAATTATGATTTCCTTTGTTTTCTTCAAATTAAATCTAAACAAATGAATACACTCTGAATAATTGTTTAAAATCCAGTTTAGAAAAATGAGTTACAGCCGGGTGTTGGTGGTGCACGCCTTTAATCCCAGCACTCGGGAGGCAGAGGCAGGCGGATCTCTGTGAGTTCGAGGCCAGCCTTGTCTCCAGAGCGAGTGCCAGGATAGGCTCCAAAGCTACACAGAGAAACCCTGTCTCGAAAAACCAAAAAAAAAGAAAGAAAAGAAAAAAGAAAAATGAGTTACACTAGAACAGTGCCTCAGTGTCTATATTAAAATATCACAAAAGTGAACTTAATAATTGAAAGTTACAAAGTTGGTTGTGTATCTTGAGTACAAATGGTATATTTGAGTGTTTGAACCTATCTTTATTTTCCTTAAATTTATGTGTTACTGGGTAGTAGGAGATAAAATGTCAAAGATAATGTGTCTTTTCTTTTTCTTTAGTAATGCTACAGCCATTTGATTATGATCCAAATGAAAAGAGTAAACATAAGTTCATGGTACAGACAATTTTTGCTCCACCAAATATTTCAGATATGGAAGCTGTGGTAAGTAAGTGTAGAAGTACATAAATTATTTGGATATGGAGATTTAAACTTTGGGTTTGTTTAGCTCTGAACAATCCTGATTTCCTTGCCAAAAATTAAATACCTGTAAGTCTGTTTGGAACAAAATTTAAAGAATGGAAAAGTCTTGAAATACTGTTTTCTTAGATACCATTTAGAAATGTGTATTGCTAATGACATTGCCCATTCTTTTCATGATAGTTTTATTTGTTTTATTGGGTGTGTGAGGGGGCATGTGAGGGTCCGAGGGCAGCTTGGTGGCGTTGGTTCTTTCAGTCTAGCATATGGGTTCCTAGGGTTGGACTCAGGTTGTCAGTGTCGGCAGCAGTTGCCTTTCCCTTTTGAGCCAGTGTCATTTTCATTGATGGTGATGCAGGGTCTGCAGCGTCTAAAGGTTGAGTGGGTAGACTGTTGTGCAGCTGTTAGCAGGTGTTCCAGCCTTGTACCCCAGCTGAGCCATACCTCTAACAGGGTTCTGAGCTTCCATGCTCAGGCTTCAGTTGTCCCTGTAGATAAAAAGTTTGCCACAATCTTCTCTCATCTCATGTTTGTTTGTTTGTTTTTTTTTTAAAGTGGAAAGAAGCAAAACCTGATGAATTAATGGATTCTAAATTGAGATGTGTATTTGAAATGCCGAATGAAAATGATAAAATGGTAAGTAAGAACCACCAGATAGTTGATTACCAGCATCCGAGTTTGGACTTAGGTTGACAGGTCTAATGAGACTTACCTTTAAAAAAGCTTGGTAATGCTGTTTGCGTTCCATAATATTTTGTTACTTTTTAGGTTCAAATTTCAGGGTGGGAAGAAATTCTAGGAATGCTCTCAAATCTATTTTTTGGAATAAGATAGGTATAAATAAATATAATTAGGAAAGATTAGATTAGAACCTCTTTTTGAGTAACTGTATTAACATTCTTGGGATAAAATAAAATTTATAGGAATAAATATGTGTTGTTTTTTTTTTCCAGTTTAGCCTTTGCTAGGTATTTTGAGTATTTTTGTTTTTTAATCAAAATCAGTTTTATTTTTTTTTAGTAAATTGTGTGTTTATTGACTAGTAGTAAGAAGTTATGCTTTTATGGCCTGTGGGATAGATGTGTTTAGAGTAAAAGTGGACCTGTGGTCTGTAGGGTGGGCACGGTTACTTTATTCCTGTCTTCTTTCTGGTTTATTTAAGAATTTTGTTGTATGAGTGTGGTTCTTTCCCTTCATGTATGTCTGTGTACCACTTGTGTGCTGGTGCCCTCAAACCAGAAGAGGGCGTAGGATCCCCTGGAACAGGAGTTCCAGCCAGCTGTGAGCTGCTATGTGGGTGTTTGCTGGGGATGGGACCCAGGTCCTCTGGAAGAGCAACCAGTGCTCTTAATCACTAGGCCATCTCTCTCCAACCCTGCGAATTTGAATTTTCCTGTGGTTAGTAGGAGGGATTGTTTTTATTATGTGTGTTAAAATACATAAAAGAAAGGGGGTAGATATACTTGGTATAATACGGTTTATAGTCTGACGTGATTCTTGCTTTGCTCTAGTAACAGATTTGCTCTGTTCAAAAGTAACCCATTTAAGAAAGCTAAAGTGAAGATGCTCTTGTTCATTAGGTATTGGACAAATGACTCACTGAATTTTCAGCATGTGAATCTGAGTTCTAATTGCCAAGAGTAGAAAGTGCGGTGTGCATACTTTTTATATTAGTTTCCTTTTTCTTTTGGCTCAAAAATGTTAACATTTATTTAACAACAGCAAAAGTAATAAGTTTATCTGGATTGACATTACTGTGAAATTACATTTGGATCTTATTTCACTTGAGGCTTTTTTTTTAAAACCATTAATAGTTTATTAAACACAGATCTGTTTATCTTTCATCCGACTTCCATTATACTCTGGATATTGGACAAGTTAAGACTGAAAAATTAAGTCTGGGGGCTGGGCATTGGTGGTACATGCCTTTAATCAATCCCAGTACTCGGGAGGCTTAGGCAGGCGGATCTCTGTGAGTTTGATTGAGGCCAGCCTGGTCTCCAGAGCGAGTGCCAGGATAGGCTCCAAAGCTACACAGAGAAACCCTGTCTCGGAAAACCAAAAAAAAGAAAAAAGAAAAAAAAAAAAAAAAGTCTGGGGAAGTTAGAGCCTACACTGATGTGATTCAGAGAGGTTCTTGTTGCTTTAAAACCAGCAAGAAAAGGAGGGGCAGTGGAGCCTGTCCCCCAGACTTTGAGGGAGAGCAGGCATGCGGGTGTACAGAGAAGCCCACAGCCCACCGCTGGGGGAAGAGAACCCTGGGGGTTTCTCTGCCATGGTGTTAATGTCAGTATTCCCCAACACTAGCAGATCCTGAGCCCCCATAAGCTTCTAGTAGGATGTCTTCCTGTTATTTGGACTGCTCGTATTTGTTGTGTATTAAATTGGAGCATCTGCTATAGAGCCAGAAAATGAGACAAACGTTGGCGAGAGAAGTATACACTGAACACATGACCGGCTTTTATAGTTGCTAGGTCATAAACCCCTGGATTTTACTTGTCGTCATTGTAGCCCAGAGAATTGGTTATTTCTCTTGCCCCAGCTTCCCAATGCTGACATCAAAAGGGTGGCACCATACCTGGCTTTCTGTATAATTTAAAGATGCATCCTAGACATTTGATTTTATTTATTAACATGCTTATTTCTCTAAGGACTTAAAGATCCACTGGAGAAATCTAATGGTTTGATGCTATTATGCCTTTAAATTTTAGGGTATTTACATTCATTAAGCTATCCAAGCAGCATCCAGATTTGTTCATCAAATGTCATTAAAATGTCCCTTTTTGTAGTTTGTTGAATTGAGATGAAATCCAAGTAATACAGATTTATTTCTTTAATTTAGTGATTTCCTTTTTGCTTTGCTCTTCCAGAAGTAATAAGTGAACTGGGTTTGCCTAAAAACTTTGTTGCATGCTAGGTTTTTTTTTTTTTTTTTTTTTTTAAGATTTTTGATTATTTGTGTGTGTGTGTGTGTTTCCCATGTGCTGTGGGTACTTGATGTGTAGAAGTCAGAACAGGGTGTTGGACCCTCTGGAGGTAGTTACAGGTGCTTGTGACCCACTTGATGCTGGGGTGTGAGCCTGAGTCCTGTGGAAGAGCAGCAACTGTTGTTGACCACTGAGACATCGCGCTAGTCCCCACATGGTGGGCTTGTACCATTGCATTCTTGTGTCTTGTAGTTTCTTGGTGTAATATTTCTTACTGGAAATTGGATCCTAGAAGCTTGATAAAATTTAGATTGGTTTTTGGTGGTGGCTGTAGATGTTGTTTGTGAAGTGCAAAGCCTTAAAGTGTAGCATTTAGGTGGACACTTTGCTTGTTCTCTACTTACAAGAATTTAATACAGCTTATGAAGATGAAGGCACGTTAAATGGCTGAGTCTTTTTTGTGCCCCCCCCCTTTTTTTTTTAAAGATAAGGTTTCTATGTAGCCCTGGCTGTCCTGAAATTCACTATGTAGACCAGACTGACCTGTAGCTCACAAAGAAGACTGACTTGCTGTGTTTAAAGGTGTCTGCTACTATGCCAGGCTTACAGTTTTTATATGTATACATATTTTGAAGATCTCATACATGTATCCAATGTGTTTTGATCATAATGACCCCCTTTCCTCTTGGATCTTCTTGTGTGTTCCTTTTTCAACTTTATGGTCTTGTCGTCAATCCCCCCCCCCCCCAGCATATCGGCTATGGTGAGGTGTAAGCTTTCTCCTCTCCTGCCTGTCTCCCCTCTTAACTTTTCATGTAATCATATATAGTGGATTACTGTATACACAGCATGCAGTCCATGCCTTCAGGAGCTGGGGAGATGGCCTGGTTGGCGCAGTACTTTTGGGTACTAGGACCCGAGTTTGAGTCTCCAGCTTCCTGTAAGAAGCACAAGAGGTGTTGTGTGTGTCTGTGACTTGAGCCCCGAGGCTGTCTCTAACCACTGCACACTGCAGAGGACACACATATTCCTGAAGCTCACTGACTCCATCCTTGCTGAATCAGTGAAGCCCAGGTCCAGGAGAGAGACCTTGGAAAATAGACACCCAACCTCAACCAAGGGCCTGAATGTGCATGAATATACCCCTGTATATACATATAAATACCCCCTGTAAATACTCGCCCCCGCCCCCCACGTATGCATTCAACAAGCATCTGTTCTAACGTCACATACAGTTACTACATCATTCTTTGATTAGTTGGTTAGGAGGCTCTTTAGGTTGGTTCTTGAGCCATTTTGATCCAAGTAACCACTAGTAACTTTCTTTAATTTTTAATTACACACATTACATACATGATAGGTTTCATTGTTAGATTTTTCACAAGTGTACACTGTACATTTTGATCCTATTCATCTCCCATTACCCTCCTTTTTTTCTTCTGCCCACTCCTGAGATCCTCCTCTTTCTCCAGCTGCCCTACGTCTGCTTTCTTGCCACAGAGGCGGGTGGATGGTGCCAGTTTGTTTACAGGGCTGCGTTAACCTTGTTGATGGTGAGTGAAGAAAAAGACCTCTCCTCCATCCAGCAGCAGTTAACTGAGTGTAAACCCTAGGATGGATGGCTTGGGGCTGCATGAGCTCTGCAGCGTTCTGTGACAGGCTTGGGCAGCCGCAGTCCCGTGGGTCTCTGTAGGTAGTCACAGCTGCTGTGAATTGAAGAGCATCACATTTGTGTCCTGTGGGGAAATCAGAGCTTCACACTCCATTCCCTTTCCAGCACTAACAGTTTTCTTTCCCGCATGTTTTTCCTAGAGCAGTGTAGAGGATTCGGTCTCTGTCCTGTAGGGGTTAGCATTTGGCAGTCACATATTGTCAGTATTTTGACCAGTTACAAGTCTTTTGTCACTATGGACTTAGGAACTTCTTTTTTTTTTTTTATTTTTTTAAGTGTATGCCTTTATGTTTGTCTGCACTTCTTGTGTTCTTTGGTATTCAGAGTCCAGACAGAAGAGGGTATTCAGTCCCCTGGACCTAGAGTTACAGGTGGTTGTGAGCTAACTTGGAGTACTGGGAATCTACTCTAGGATACTCTTGGGTCCTTTGGAAGAGCAGCCAGTGTTCTTAATCTCTGAGACATCTCTCCAGCCCATTAGGAACCTTTTCTGATGTGATGTGGCCTAAAATTTTCCAGGCCCAGACTTAGAACCATTCCTTAAACTTTGGAAGTGTGACAGTGGCTGCTCATGTCTATAATCCCAGTTCTTCAGAAGCAGGAGGATTGCTATGAGTTCCAGGTCAGCCTGTGCTACAGAGTAGTTAAGACCATGTCTTATAAAACTAAACCAAACAAAACTCTGGGTACTTGTGGTCAGGATGACCGTGGATGGACAATGACTCTATCACTGTAGCAGCAGGTCCTTATTAGACCTCCTGAAGTATGGTTTTGACATCACTATAGAAGGAGTTTATAACTGGTCCTTAGCCTTGCTGATAGATTTTTGTTTTGTTTTGTCGTTTTGGAAGACAGGGTCTCTGTCCCAGGATGGCCTGGAACTCTCTTTATGTGTAGGCTGTCTTCAAACTTGTGGCAGTCCTCCTGTGCTTGTCTTTTAGGAGTGAGCTCTTACGATAGTTGGTGGGTGTTTTTACATGTTTAGAATTCCCATTTCAAGATTCACATATGAGATGTGGTAGGGATATAGCTTAGTGGGTAGATGGCAGGTTTAGCATACCAGGAGCCCTGGGCTAGATCCTAGTAGCCTGTAATCCCAGCTACTCCAGAGGTTGAAACTGGAGGACAGTTCATTTCTGGAAGTGCTCTGAAAAATACTTTTGGAAAAATGGTTCTCTTCTCAAGCTCACTCTGCTGTTTCTACTCACCTGCAGATTCTCCAACACAGGTTAATTAGTGTGGTCTATGAGGGGTGCACTTTCGTTAGGTTGCACGTAGGTCCTTCTGTCATGTGTTCAGTTTAAGGGTACATATCATCCTTTATGGAAAATGTGAATCCTCAGATCACTTGATCTAAAGTCTTGATGGGCCGAGCGGTGGTGGCACACACCTTTAGTCCCAGCACTTGGGAGGCAGAGGCAGGCAATTCTCTGTGAGTTGGAGACCAGCTTGGTCTACAGAGCGAGTTCCAAGACAGCCTCCAAAGCCACAGAGAAACCCTGTCTCAAAAAAACAAAACAAAAAGTCTGTCATGGTAGATGAAAATGGGAAGTTTTTTGGTACTGAAACTTTTTTGGTACCTAAAACTTTTTTTTAGCTGTCTAGAAGTACACACAAAACACTTTGCCCATATTACTCTGTTTGCTGATCATGTTCAGTTCAGTATTATGTGTCTGAAGCTGATGAAGGTGCTAAAAGTCAGTGTCCTGACATTACCTTCTTTTTAGCTTTTTGCTAAAATCATGCACCCCTTTCTGTATGATTATCTTAGGGTTAGTATGAAATTTGTGTTTTTGGAAGTTTAGGTATTGTTGGATAATCCTATATGCTTAGATGCAGTTTTGTCAGTTTGTTTCAGGTATGGTTTTGTTAATCATGTCTTGCACAAACTAAGTACATTTCCAAATGTGCAACATCAACAAAAACGTTACGAAAAGGTATATTGGCAGTGTGTGTTTATTAGAATATATAGTATAAACCAGATAGTTTCAGTTTGTAATTACTCTTGTCACACAGTAAATTGACTTATTTATATTTGCTAAGTGGGGCTGGAAATTGAACTCTGGTCCTGCAGCATGCTAGGTAGGCACTCTACCACAAACATACACCTTGAAGCTGGTTTATGTGATGAATTAAGCAGAGTATGGCTTAGTTTTTTAATTAAGCTGCTGGTAATAGCTACAGTTCAGTATGGTGGCACATGGAATTTGTATTATCCTTGTTTGGTGTATGAAACTGGGGGAGCCTGTGTAGACTTTCATATTTTTTTTCTCTGTATATGTACATTGTGAACTAATTGCCAGAATCAGTCTCATTAACGGCCACCACACTTGCCTCAGTTACTGGTAGTATTTTTAAGGATGGAATGAGGCTATATTGTTTTTGACCTTTTATAACCTATCAGTCTGAATTTGAGTTTTAAAAACATAAAAAGCCTTAACTCTACTTGATATTTTCCTTATTAATTAAGTGTATATATTTAGTGTACTTGCTCTCTACAAACATCTGATAGTAAAATACTTTCTGCAAAAGCTTTTGCATTAATGACAACAAGGGGTCCGAATGGAGCAGGAGTCAGGAGCCTTCTGTATTTCAGAGTACATGCTACTTTTGTTGAGACAGAATAGATTGGATGTCTGTTAAATACTATTTTGTGCCAACCTTGTTGAGTTACTCTATGTTAACTATACTAAGAGGACTTGAGGTAAGTTGGGAACTGTGGATTTACGATAGGCTAACCAGAGTGTTAATCAGTCTTTGGGTTTTAATGGCCTGCTGTGTGTTTGGGAGGTGACGGGGCCCTGAGAATAAAAGAGGCCTACAGATCATTAGCAGTTTTTAGCTTTCAAGGGAAAAATGTTCACGTCAAGTGTTATCAAAGGTAAGAGAACATGAAGCTGAATATTTTTCAGATAATGACAAGTATGAGTTGTTTTTGTTTTTAAAGTATATACATTTAAGTGGAAGTATGCAAAAGGCCATACCTAGTTTTGTGTGAGAAATAATACGAAAAGCCAGTTTTGCTTTGATGTTCTGTTTCTTATGCATTATTTTTATGGAATAAGATGTCAATGTTTTACAGGCTAAAGCTATTTGTGTTAGTCATTCCCAATATCATACAGGAGAAATCAGTTTGGTATGAATCTGAGAATATTTTTCCCATGCTACCTCAGGGTAAAACTCCACCAGGGATTGCTTCAGCTGTCACTTCAATCAGCACCGTCAGCAACACAGTTGCAACACCTGCCAGTTATCACATGAAGAATGATCCCAGGGAGCTAAAAGAGCTGAAGCAGGTTTGTCATAGGAGCTAACAGAAGTAGGCGTCTACTAGTGTTAGTAAGTTAATGTAGATACCTTACCTAAGGAGATAAGTAATATTGAGTGTATTAAAGGTTAGAATTTTAAAAAGCCTTTTTGAAGCAATATCTCATGTTGCCTAGATTGGCCTCTAAACTCATTGTGAAGCCAAGGATGACAAACTTCTTACCCTCCTGCCTCCACTTAGAAGTGCTGAGACTGCACCTGGTTCTGTGTTGGGGCTGGAGAGAGCCCAGGACTTCTGCATGCGGGCAGCCTACTGACTGTCACCATCCTCAGCATTCACACTTGAAGCTGATTTTAAAATTACAATAGGGCTGAAAGGTACAGGGACAGCTCTGCTCTGAAACAATGGTCAGTGGAGTCACAGTTGGACATAAAAGTGAACACTGTTGAGTTCGTGTGGCTTTTCCCTTGAACGAGATTTGGGGAGCATATGCTGAAAATTGAATTTGTAGCTTGTTTGAATTAGCCTAGAAGGTACATAGTAATTAGTGAGAGTGAGAGCTGGCAAACACTGCTTTTCAACAAGCATTTGTGTTTGCATAAAGAAAATACAAGAATAGTAACCTTTATTTACCTGTAATGCCCTGGGATTTAGAAAAAATTTTCTGACTAAAATTGAGGCCATAATTTACCTCTGCATGTATATCGTTGAATGCTAATAAGGTTAGGGTATCTGAGTTTGTTGGTAGAATGGGTTCTGTGTAATTCTTTTAAGCATTTATTACTTACAGGAAAGTTCAGAAATGTTTATACGTTCTTGTTCTTCTGATTTGACTTAGAATAGGATATACATAAAAGAAGGCTTTAAACATTTTTAGATTTCATTTTACATGTGTGGGTGTTTGCCTACATGTTGTGTGTATGCACACCACTTGTACCTTATGTCAGTGGAGGTCAGCAGAGGCATCAGGTCCCCTGGAACCAGGGTTACAGATGGATGTGAGACACCATGTTGGTGCTAGGAATCAAATCCAGGTCTTCTGGAAGAACAGCCAATTTTTTTTTTTTTTTTAAACAGTTGAACCATCTCTAGCCCCCTTACCAAGGCTTTATTTTTTTTTTTTTTCAAGACAGGGTTTCTCTGTGGCTTTGGAGACTGTCCTGGAACTAGCTCTTGTAGACCAGGCTGGCCTCGAACTCACAGAGATCCATCCTCCTGCTAATAAGGCTTTAAAAATACCTTTCATTAGCTGAGTGCATTGGTGCAGTTGATGTACACTAGGGAGGCAGAGACAGGCACAGAACTCTCGTGAGTCCAGGGCTAACCTGGTCTGTATAGCTAGTTCCAGGCTATCTAGGACTGCATGGTGAGACCTGTCAACAAATCTTTTATCTAAATTTTTAATTCTGTTTGGCCTTATATTTGGAATTATTTTTTTGTAATCATGGGCCTAGAGAAACCATGCATTTGCTGTTAGATTAGGAAGAAAAAACATTCAGAGAGCATTGTTGTTCAGATACTTCAATTCACAGATTAAAACTTTAATTCTGACAACATAGCCATACACCGTCTTTATGTATTGACAACCCTTTACTCAACACAGTGATGAAAATGTCCTTTAGTTCCTGTCTTCACAGAATGCATTGCAAATGCTTGTAGATTTGACCTTGACTTTCTATGTGTAGTCCCTAGCTCCTTTCTGATAGCCCCTACAAAGTTAGTACAGTGGAAATCTCTGTGTGGGGCTACCGCAGACAGGCAGAAAGAATACAGTGGTGGAGAATGTATGGCATACAGTCTTGACACTGTAGCCTATTCTCACCCGAGGTGCTAAGGTTGGCTTATTTCATGGTCCTAGTCCCCTGTCTGCTGGGATTAATGGTGAGCATTACACCCCACATTTATTTGGGACTTTAATTTTTTATTTTAAAGTCATTAGAATTCCCCTCTCTCCACTACTAGCTTCATATATATCATTCTGTAGTCAACACTGGGCCAACAGTATGATTTTCTTCTGCATTTTTTGCTCCTGTACTTGGGGTTGAGCCAATGACCATTATGTGTGTGAGGCAAATGCTCTGCTGCCCAGCACTGTCTTCGTTGTTAGGCAACACTTGAGGACTCGTCTGTTGTTGAGTACTGCCTGCCTTACAGAGGGAGGCACATGCTTTCCCCTTTGAAATTCAGGTTGGGTTGTGCAGGATGGGGTATGAAAACTCAGTTTGAAGTGAATTTTAATTATTGTCAAGAAAATAGAGTAAATATTTTAGCAAAATATATCAGGTACAGACTTTTTATACTAGAGATGGACTTGGTTGGACATTAGGGAGATTGCGGTAAAGAACAAATGTCAGCAGGAGAAACTCAGAGCAAATTGAGGTAATTAAGTCTCTTCACACTTGAAAAGTGGGAAATGTGCGGGCAGGTCAGGTAGTCAGGGTTGTGCACTAGAACCCCTTGTTGCCCTCAGAAAGTACTGGCACGGGCAGCTTCAGGAAGAAGACTTGGTTTGAGGAGCAGTGCAGTCTAGCACCAGTAGCTGGTAGTCTGCAGGCAGGAGACAGCGGTGAATGCTGGTGCTCATTGCTCTTCCTTTTTTTTTTTTCTGTTGAGGACCCGCCCATGTGACGGTGCCACTCACTCACTCACTCACTCACTCACTCACTCACTCACTCACTCACTCACTCACTCACAATTAGGGTCTGTTGCCCCATCTCGATTAACCCAGTATAGAAAAGAAAGAATTTTGCAGCCCTAGGTGATTCTAGACCTGTCTGGTTGACAGCATTAACACTGTAGTCCCATTGGCCACCAGAGTGGTTCTGCACAGTCTCTGATCCTGGTACAGATGACTGCTGTGTGATGCTGTGAAATGTAATTTGGTAAATGCCTTGATCAGCAGTTTATATCTGCATAAAGCTTGCCCTTTTTATGTATTTATTTGTAGTGTTTATGTCTGTCAGTAGCAAACCCAAGGTCTCCTGCTTGCTATCAGATGCTCTATTACTGACTTAACCTCCTATGTCTTCTAAAAAATTTTAGCAGTTAAAAGTCTAAAATGAAAAAGGTGACTTTATATTGGTGATATTATGGTGTGGGGTGGTATAAATGATATTGGGATGAAGGAAACAGTTTGGACCACAGTCTTAGAAACAATGTTAGTCAGAGGATTAATTTAGACCTTGTAGTTTTGAAAGTTGTCTTAAGTTACTTCTTAAATAGTATACCACAATGAATCACACTAATTGGACAGTTTACTCTTTGAAGGATCATTTGTGCTTAAGACCACAGATAGCTTCCTCCACTCACTGCAGTGATTTGCTTGCTTACTGTTTCAATATTTGTGTCTTTTAGCTCTTTTATTCCATTAGTAGACATTAGGGTTTAGATTGGTTTTGGCTGTATGTTCTTAGGTAGCTGCAAAGTTTATTGGGATGACCATGAGGCTGCCCTGTACCTTCCAATTCTTAAAACCTCATTTGATTGCAGAATCAGACCATTGACAATTGCCTGGAGTTAGCATATTTTCTTAGCCTGACTCTTCTTGGCCAAAGCCTGTGTTTAGGGGTAAATAACAAGAGAGAAATGGCTCTTCTAGCTTTTGCGATTCTGGATGAAAGAATGTAGAATATCAAGTATTATGATACCTTTTAAGTGCTGTGTTAAGGTAAGTACCATGAGTACAGAGGTAGATGAAATAGGCTGCTCATTTTGATTTACCTAACTACTGGTATGTAGTGACATACTCCATTGAAAATTGTCTACAGATGACCTTATTTGAAATAAGTTGAAATTAGTTGAAACTTGTCACATTTAGAGCATTTTTAGAAAAAATGTAGAGTTTAGATTTTTATTAGTTAAAATCCATAAATGTTTTTAGTTAAAGATTCCCAATGTCTTTGAAATACAGAATGATATGGAACCTAGCAAAGCTGTTCCACTGAATGCATCCAAACAAGACGGACCCCTGCCAAAACCGCATAGTGTTTCTCTCAATGATACGGAAACAAGGAAGCTGATGGAAGAGTGTAAGAGACTTCAGGGAGAAATGATGAAGCTGTCAGAAGAAAACCGACACCTGAGAGTAAGTTTTCCTGCTTGAAAATGTGTTAATTGGAATGAAGGTAGAAGAATGACTTATAGAAACTTAACCTTGGGTCTATGTATATGAAACCATTTCAGTAGGAAGGGAGCAGTTCCTTCTTTTACATGGAGTAAGATATTACTAACACAAAGCACAATTATCAGTCTAATTGAGAGCTTCCTGAACCCTGCAATGCAGTCTGTGTGCCATGGTAGCCTTTCACACATATCTTGATGTTGGTGTGATCATATTAAAACTCCATGGTAATGGTATTTCACCCTAAAGTACACCTCTTCTCTAAATCCTTAATATTTTGTCTACTACAAAATAAGTCTGCCATGTGGGTTTCCAAGTTGTAGTGAGTCAGTGATCCTGCCGAGTGTAATGCTTTTGGCTGACCGCTGTAGTCAATTTATGATACCACAGGACGTAATGGAAGTAAGCTTGCATGGTTTGATAGGAATATACTCTTTAACTTGTATTTTAAAAGTCAGTGTTACTGAGGTGTAATTTACATCACATGACTGTAGTTGTTTAGGCAGATTTATAGTTCTTCAGCTGTCACTTTAGTCCAGTTGTAGACTTCTTCACAGTTCCACAGGTTCCCAAGGAAGACTGCAGTTAATTCTCGCTCCTATTCCTAGCCACACACATCTGCTGATCTCCTTTCTGTCTGTAGGAACTTTAGCTTTGACACTCACCTGCATGTGTTACCTGTTTAAAACTGTGATTTGTGTATTTTCCCCAGGATGAAGGCTTAAGACTTAGAAAGGTAGCGCATTCGGACAAACCGGGATCCACCTCAGCTGCACCCTTCAGGGAGAGTGTCACCAGTCCTCTTCCTTCTCTTCTGGTTGTAATCGCAGCCATTTTCATTGGATTCTTTCTAGGGAAATTCATCTTGTAGAGTGAAGCATGCAGAGTGCTAGTTCTTTTTTTTCTCTCGACCAGAAAAAGATTTGTTTACCTACCATTTCATTGGTAGTATGGCCCGCGGTGACCATTTTTTGTGTGTACAGCGTCATATAGGCTTTGCCTTTAATGATCTCTTACGGTTAGAAAACACAATGAAACACACTGTTGGGCCCCTGGACAAATTGTACATTACCAGATCATCACTAGCAGGTGTCAGTTGCACATTCTGTCCTTTATGAGATTCATAAATAAAGAATTGTTCTTTCTTTGTGGTTTTAATAAGAGTTCAAGAATTGTTCAGTCTTGTAAATGTTATTTTAATAATCCCTTTAAATTTTATCTGTTGCTGTTACCTCTTGAAATATGATTTATTTAGATTGCTAATCTCACTCATTCAGGAAATGCCAAGAGGTTTTCTGTGGGGAACTGGTGCCTCTTACTGTGTAAATTTTCTCTTTCCCTTTGCTAATATCATGGCAGAATTTTTCTTATCCCTTGTGAGGAGGCAGTTTGTTGACTGAGTTTTTCATCCTCTTGTGTGAAACTCTTCCCAGTACTTCATTACTTGTAACTTAAAGGTTTTGAGACTAAGAAACAAATAGCTACAATTTCAGGCTAATGTAGGTATTTTGGAATACCACAGTTGGTTTTAAGAGATAAAGTGCTATAGAAAGTCAGCTCTGATGACTCTTGTGTGTGCCAGCTGGCTGTTGTTCAGTTCACTCCCTTCTTACCATGGTTTCTTTTCTGTTATTTTGAGACAGCTCTGGAGTCTATCCTGGAACTCCCTCTATAGACCAAGCTGGCCTTGAACTCAGAGAAGATCCACATGCCTCTGCCTCCCAGTGCTGGGGTTAAAGGCGTTCACCATCACTGTCTGACTGAAGGATTTAGTTTTTGAAAATCAAAACTTTTATTTTTGCAAATTAGTCTGTTAACATGTGAAACACAGTTGCATTTCAAAAGAGTGTGTGTGTGTGTGTGTGTGTGTAATTTATTCATACTGATACAAACAATTTTATAATCAGAAAAATATACCGTTTTCAACTGAGTATAGTTTATTACAGGTAAATTTGTATTCTCAAAATAGGTGTTGGTTTTGTAGAAGTTTAATTCTCTTGGAAAAGAAATTGGGTTGCAAGGCTTAATATTCAGTGAAGTAACAAGTCTGCACATTTTATGCAAGAGTGAAGTCTTCTCAAGTGTTAGTTGCCTTTTAATTTCTCAGATTATAATGGCTTATATATAATGTATTGTTATACTCTATGATAACTCTTTTATAAAACTTATGTACCAGTTAACTTGTAGCATGAATAATAAAAACCCAGGGACAGATACTGGGCTTGAAGCTGAAGATCAGAGAAGCAAAGCAGCCAGCTACTAGAGAGTTCTAATCTATCGATGCTCAGACCAAAGGGTCGATCCATGGAACCTTAGATTGCATCTCCTGACTGCACTGCTCTCCACCAAGCCTCAGAATCCTAGGCTGCCCCCCTCCCCAGACTGCACTGAGCTCCTTATATTCTCTCTAGTGCTGGGACTAAAGGCGTGAGCAGTTTCTCTTTTTGACTGATTCACTCTAATGTTACCCTGGGTAGCCTTGAACTCACAGAGATCCACCTGCCTCTGTCTCCTGAGTCCTGAGATAAAAGGTGTGTCCATATTCCATAAGTACATAAGCAGCAGCTCCGTTTAAAGTCCTCTGTAAGATCAGTGTTGGTGGTAAGTTCAAATTTGGTAATGCTTACATTGCTTTTTAAAGGGAAAAAAAAATCCTGTTTATGGAAATGCTCCCTGAAATTTAGTTGTCTCTCAGCCCCTTTGTTTTGTAGTTGAGGAGGAGTCTGAGGCCTTTAAGGCCTGAAGAGAACGTCACCGATGTCTCACAGGCTCTTAGAGACAGTTGAAACCAGAAGTCTGGTTTTCTGATGGTAGCAGTGAAAAAGTAAAACTTTTAATTTGATGCACAGCTGAGATAACAGTGTCATTAATGGAGACTTCATACCATGGCCACCCGCCGTATGTATGCTACTGTGTTCAGGTTGCAGGGTCCGCCCTGTTGATGGTGATAGTTGTAAAGTACATTGTAGTGCTTGGTTTTGAGGTAGATTATAGTCTATATAGCATCTTTTGAAAATTCACACGGGCCCCTCTTAGCTGCCTTTCTTTGGAGTTGCTCTGGTTCTATAGGAGACTTGATTTCTTGGTTCTCTTTAATTGCTTTGATGTAGGTGGAATTTTTGTCGGGATTGCCAGCTCCAAAATAAGCATTCAGAGACTCAATATTACAAATTCTCTGCCAATAACTCAGGCCTTAAAAGTTACGGTGTGTGGATGAGTTGTTTCAAGAGGTGGTTAAATGTCACTTTATTTTCACACTGGGACAAGGTGTTTGAAGTCCTGTGCTCCTTAGTCTTCAGCAGGCTATGGGGGCAGTGGAGGTTTCAGCCTGCATTGACAGTGTGAGGAGAAGCCACACCCAGAGAGTTTCATTCACCAACTTGGGGATGCCTAGTTGCCTGGGGGTTGGTGCTAGGAGCTCAGAATATTGATTCCTAGGGAAGTGACTTTGTAAATAATCTTCCTACGTTTCTCATAGCAGAAATTTGTATATTTTTGAAGCAGTTCACAAAAATGAATAAAGTGGAGTGTGCAGCTCACTGTTAATTGCTGTTCATCATAACTTCATTGTGATACTGATACTAAGAAAACCAGAGATTATACACAGCTGTGGTCTGCTTTCCCAGAAAAAAGTGTGAGGACTAACGATTTTGCTTAAGGGTATGGGCATTTCATGATGGCACATTTGATTGGCTTGTAGGTTACTTCTACTTAATTATACTTTTCAGTTATATTTCTCTTAAGAACTATTTCTTAGTTTCCAGTTGCTCCTGTATGTAAGAAACTTTGCAATTAATATTCAAAAAGGGAGCGGGAAGTTATTTTAAATATCATTTTGTACATAGGCCATTGTCCTAAAGTCCAGGTTAGCAGAGGTTTTTAATTTGCAAATGTGAACTATCAGTGCAAAACAACTGAGAAATTTCATGAGTTGAAGTTGTAGTGATTTTTGTGACTTCACTGAAGTAGTTTACTTGGTTCTGTGTCAGTGCTGGAAGTTTTTAAAGTGGAGCATGCTTTTCTGAGTGCTTGCTTTTTATGTGCCAGCCCTCACCTGTGTGTCATGTTCTCACAGACTTGAAGAGAAGGGCTGTTTTGTGGGTAACAGGAGTTTGGTTTAGAGCTTACCGTGCTAGGTTAGTAAGAGATTGGGTGGTCAGGGAGCCTGGCCACCTCACTGAAAGAGATCGTGCACTGGTCCAAGGTAGACATCTCAGTGTGGGGCTGGTGAAATAGCTCAGGAGGTAAAATGCTTGCCGTGCAAACCTGCTACTCTGAGACTAATCTCCAGAACCCACAAAAGATGGGAGTTGTCTTTCCCCACTAATAATTCAGATTTTTAAAAAAACCTTAAGTTTGAACTGGGTGAAATGGTTCCTTTTATGAAAGGAAGGTGGCAGGATGGAAATTCCCAGGAGGTGAGTATATTGATGAATATGCTTAAAGGTTCGCAACATGAGATTTATAATATGCCAGAACTCTGTTTATAAGTTTTGCATCTCAAGGTGACGAGGGGGAGGTACACATAGATAGATGGAAATAGATAGTGCTCATGTCTCCAGCAGGTAATGCCTATTTATTAAACACATACTTCATTCTGTCCTAGAACAGTGCACTCGATGGCAGTAGAGAATGAGGTTAGGCATTGCACCGTGCATTTCCCATTCAGTAGCACAAAAACAATGTGAGCTGATGACTTCAGAATTATTTACTTCCTCCTTTGCTTTCTTCCTTTTAGAGTTTTCCTCAGCTTTAACCACTTATTTTTCCTGTTTGCTTTAGATTTTTTAGGGGCCAGAGTTATTGAAGGTATACTTGAAGTCCTTCTGACTTAACCTGAGTTCATTGTTTCAGCGTTATAGTTCATCCTGTATGTAATCACGAGTAGGATAGTGTAGTAGTTATGTTTTGGTTTGTCACCTAGGTGTGTCCCTTAATGCCCTGGAAGTAAGTGTTGGGCATCTTTTCCCTTGCTGCCAAGGTTAGAACTGAAGTGGTCCCAGTATGTAAAGCCCTGCCACACCACACCCTGAAGCCTGTTGGTTGAGCCAGTGCCTGGTCTTGACACAAGGTCTGCTGGGTCTGCTGGGTCTGCTGGGTGTGGGGCTTCCCCACACTTTGAACTTTTATTTATTTATTTATTATGTAGACAACATTCTGCTTCCATGTGTATCTGCACACCAGAAGAGGGCACCAGATCTTAAAACAGATGGTTGTGAGCCACCATGTGGTTGCTGGGAATTGAACTGGGGACCTCTGGAAGAGCAGTCGGTACTCTTAACCGCTGAGCCATCCATCTCTCCAGCCCCAAGCACAGATAACTTTTCACTGCCCTGAGTATCTTTAGGAAGACTGGTCAGGATAGTTGGTTGCCCCTACCCCACCTCCGGAATGCTATAAGTCTGTGTCAACCAAGGACATGGCTGCTCCAAGGTATGAGTGTGGAAGGGTTGTTCCTGTATCTGAGTCAGAACAACCAGAGACATCTGAAGAGTCCATAGCAGAGAGAAATGAGCATGGCTAGCAGATTGGGCCCTGCCAAGAGAGAGGATGAGAGGGAGAGAAGACAGAAAAGGCCCAAGAGTGCATGTCTGAAATAGGGTAATAACAGAGAACCTGGGGCAGGAGAAGCCCATGCTCAAGTAAGGAAGGGCCAGGGTGAGAAGAGCCAGGATGCAGCTTGGACTCTGAGCTGTGACACCGTGGGGGCTGGGGGGCCAGCATGAGCTTTGGTATGCTAATAGGCACCACAGGTAGCCACTTAGCCTTCTGCCAGTGATAAGGAAATGATCCTGAGGAAACTTTCCTGAGGAATTCTAACTACCCGAATTTTGGGTGGAGTTTCCTTTGGGCCTGACAATGTCTATGTTATAGGCATGATATATATATATATATATAAAATCATTGGGTGGACTCCATTGGGCCTCTGTGTTTACAGGTGGGGGGAGTGGGGTGTTTTAGGTTTTACAAAATGAAATGGCATAAAAATCAAATTATTAGGAAATTCAAGGTTTGAAACGTGATTTTCCCTACAATCTCCGTAAATTCATACTACTACTGTGTTTTATTTTTATCATCTGGTATTCCTTAGTTTGGATATTACTGCATTAATACTGGGGTCTCCCTAGGCTCAGTAAGGGTGGAGTTGATGGGGTATGATATG